CTGTGGGGCACGCACAGCACCTTGAGGGGGTTCATCACCCCGCGGTGCTGCTCGGTCGTTTCTCCATTTCTTTGTCTTAATAACGTGAAGAAGTGTCGCTGGGATTTGACGCAGGGGTTTGGTTTTGTGTTTCCTGACTCTTCAGCGAGGGATTTTCGTGGAAGTCGTGGCCTGCCGGGATGAGTTTTCTGCTGCCCAAACTGAGCTGTAAGAGGGAAGTGGATCAGGCAATAAAAAGCGTGGCCGAGAAAGTTTTGGTTCTCCGGTTTGGCATAGATAACGATGCAGTTTGTCTACAGCTCGATGATATAGTAAGAGCAATTTTTATTTTATTTTCATATTTTTTTAAATCAACCCTACTAGGATATGTGCTGCAGACAAGCGAATATTTCTTTTGGATCTCATGAAAATTTTTGGTGACAAATGTATATAAATGACTATATTGCTAAAATGTTTTGAAAATTGAGCAAATAAACGTTTATGTTATTGTAGTGAGTGTACAAAGTGCTTTAAGTAGATAAGATGTGATGTTCTAGCCCTGCTTAGACTCATAAGAGGTAACAGAAATGGGCTTTATAAAACTTGGCACCCTTTTTTTTTTGCACTTGTGTTTCAATCCAATTGTCATCCACCTTTCTTGCTCTTTCCAGCTTGCAAAGACAGCTCATGACCTCAGTAAAATGGCAGTCATTTACCTGGTGGATGTGAACAAGGTTCCAGTGTACACCCAGTATTTTGACATCAGTTATATTCCATCTACTGTGTTTTTCTTCAACGGACAACACATGAAGGTTGATTATGGGTATGTCATCCTACGTGGTGTTATCTATTTTATTTTTAAGAATTATCAGTCTTGCTTGATATTATCTTGTCTGGGGAAGGTAACATTAGAAAACTATAATGTTATTACCAGCATCTGCATGGAGAACTCTGTAGGAAGCCAAAAGGATATAAAATTCAGAAATACTTTGAAATATGGCCTGATGCAGTAATGAGGTGTCAGCTGTGAAACGTGCCTGACTGCAAAAAAATAGTGTGGTTCAAGTCTTAGACACAACACTGCACCTTTTGTGCCTTTGGAGGTCACAATATAGTCCTGACTTGGTTATACCAGTACCAGTGTGGTTCATTCTTTCAGATTGACTGGATCAGAACCCCTCTTGCCACTGGGCATCTTTTCTTGTCTTCAGGTGGTTTTGCTTGGAACACTTGAACGTTATAATTCTACCTTTCTCTTGTGCTTACATTTAGGTCTCCAGATCATACCAAATTTGTAGGAAGCTTCAAAACAAAGCAAGACTTCATAGATCTCATTGAAGTGATTTACCGTGGAGCCATGCGTGGAAAGCTCATTGTGAGAAGTCCTATTGATCCAAATAACATTCCTAAATATGATCTTCTCTACCAAGGAATTTAATGGGTTGACCTGAGAGAAAGAATTACAGAAATGGCTGATGTTCTAGATCTCTTTTATTTCTTCAAGCATTTTTAGCCACCAATGACACTGTGGGACAATTTGAGCGTTTGTGTTGAAGGATCATACTGGTCTCCTTCTAAAGACAGACATTCTGTCACCTCATACTTCTCATAGATAAAGCTATGTGTTCATGGGTAGAATGCACACAAGTGACTGTTCTCCTGAGTAGCATGTTTGGCAGTGCCTGCCAAACAGGCAGGTTTGATATACCCTCAGTGATGACATCTCCTGTGCAGCTTTCTGAAGGCACCCTATAGTCTAATAATTATCTATTTAGTACCATTTTCATGTGGATATAATACCAGTAAATCCATCTTTATTTAAAAAGCTGTGCTTGCTTGCAAGAATGTTCAATGGACTGTGCCTTTCCAATGGAATTTACACTTCTACCAGCTACTGGATAAGGGGACAGAAGCTTTTTCAAACAGTATTAGAGGTGACTGAAATCTGAAATGGATATAAACACAAAAAGGAAGTTGACACTCTCTTTCCTCTGGTACCCAGTATTACTGGTCAACAAGTTTTTTGACTGAGATGGGAATTGAAGGCGTAGGACAAGCTTTTGTCATCCTTCAAAGCTCTTTTGCAGCCACTGAGCACTTTTGGTTCACACAGGATTAAAATGGAAATTCAGAATAACTGTTTTGTTTACATGTGCATTAAAGGTTATTTGACCTTCTGCTTGTATAAACTGCAGACCGTGAGCATGGACATTTAAAAGATGTCTCTTATTTCCCACCTCTGTTTAAAATAAAACAGCTGATAGAAAACAGCAACGTTATTCTTCTGCATCAGTTTGGTGATTGCAGGTTGTTAGGGTGTTGCATTTCTAGCAGCTCCTGACTAGTAATCTCACTGATTTAGCAACAGAAATTAGCTGACTGTATCATGTTTGGGGCATACCTTCTCCACCCTGAGGGAAGGCCATAGTACACAGTTCCCTGAAGTATTGTTTAATTTAACAGGAAACTTTTCAAGGAGGAAGGTGGATGTCCCAGCTCTTGTAAGATTTTAAACACTATATGGTATATAAATGGATCCTTTAAATGTTCTTTTAATCAAAGCTATGCACCCAAGCTCGTGTTTTCCTGATAGTTTAATCTGATTAACATGGCCATAATGGCAGAATCTTTATCTAAAAATAATTACACAGATGCAAGTTGGTATGTTTAACATCTTTATTTTGTGCAACTTTGAATTTCACAGCTAGCTAAACGCCTGTGCCTTAAAGCTTTCAACAATGCACTTCTTTCCTTCTAGTTAACCTCTATTTGTGTGTTTCTCCAGACCAGCTTCCAACCTAGAGCTGTAAGCTGCTCCACAGTGAGATGAAGGTCCTTAGATCACTGAAAGGTGCAGTGAGACGACCGCTGCCAAGGAGCAAATTGATGCACCTTTATTTAATGCCTCTCTTCTTACTTGTGCTGCTCCTGGTTGCGACAGGTGAATTCCTAAAGGCTGTTGTGGTCTTGGCTCTCAGCGTGCTCTTCAGGTACTTGAAGATGGACTGCAAGCAGCAGGAGGGTGCTAAGCCATACTTTTCTGTTCCAGCAGAGACAGTAGGGCAGTTCATCCTCACAAGAGAGCCTACAGCTTTATCCAGAGGCTTGCTGCTCGCCACCCACTGCCGGCAGTGTTTCTGCACCCACTGCTGGATCTCTGGCTGCCCCCTGGCCTGGTGCTGCGCGTTGTGCGCGGAGTCGATGAGCGCCGCGGCGTACACTTTGCTCATCACCTCCTGTGTTCTCTGCACCAGCAGATCCACGAACACCAAGCCACCGTAGCCGTGGGCAATGAAGGCCACGTTCTCAGCTGCACTCTTTGAAATGAAATGCTCCCACACGTACATGGTGTGTTCCTCAGGGCTGCCGCGGCCCCTCTCGGGCATCCACCAGGCTGAACGCGTAGAAGTCGCTGCCTCCCTGGCAGGGAAGCTTAACCTCTCCTTTTCAGCCTTCAGATGGATGAAAGTGTCATTAGGATTCAGTACAATCACTCCCTGGTGGCTTTGAAGGGCTGTTTGGATGAATGGTATTTGTGTTCCATGCAACAGCCCCTCATTGACAATTATCCTGTGCCCCCACTGTCCCGCGCAGAAAACTCCACGGTCTTGAAGGAGGACAGTTAGGCTGGAGGAACTTGTTAGTGCATTCTTGCTCATGAAAAAAAAACTTCTTGGTTCATCCTCTTTAGCATCAGTAGGAATATAAACTTTCTGCAGCATGCAGACTCTTTCCAGGAGGCTGTAAACATACTGGGTAATCAAATGTCCTAAAACTTGATAGCGTTTATGGTTCTGCTCAGGTGCATTCTTGTAATGATTGAAAACAAAGGGCTCATTTGTATCCAGATGCCTCAGTTCCCCTTTTATATTGAAGTCATACTTCAGTTCTTCTTGATACTCTGAACCCTCTATTAATTTCCTCAAGCCTAATTCATGCTGTATTTGCAGCCACTACAAATTAAGAAGACTATGTCAACATAGTGATTGACCTCCCATCTACATAGAGAAAACCTGTCACATTAAAACTCGGATCTTAAAGTGCTTACAAAGTACTCATTGATACAGACCATCTCTCAGTAGTCATGTAAGCAACTTGAGTTGGACCCCAGCTCCTTCCTGGAATGCAAGTTTCCTTCAGTAAGCTGCTTAGCATATTGAAAAGTATCTCTTACACTAACAAATTAAAAGTAAAAAAAGTTACTTGCTTTTCAGCAGAGCAACACCATATACATTTTTTGGAGCAATCTCTGTTGGGTCAGAGGTGTTAAGTCCTCTCTTCAAGGTCGTTCCTGTCTTCTCATTAATAGTAGGCTAGAAAGTGCTACCTTTGTTTTTATCTTAGATAACAAATATGTATTGAAAAGGACAAAAAAAGAGAGGTTCTAGGATATATAAACCATTTACTATCTTGCCAGTTTCTTGGAAGAGAAATGGCACAAAAAATGTTGCAGGTGCACACGTTCATCTATGATTTTTTCATCTACAGGACAGCACAAAAGACACAAAAGATGTGGGAGGAGACTTTGCTATGCTACCAACAAGGACAATTCATACAAAAGAGGTCACATTTAGCAGGGAGGAAACTCCCCGTGCTCATGTTAGTTTCCCCATGCAGGGAAGTGGGAGGAAAAGGAACATGGTTTAAGGAAGGGTGACTGGAGGAAGGTGAAGCACAGATGAAAGGTTCCATAACAGTTACAAATAGGTAACTGCAGTTTTCTCCAGCACTTCTCTCTGTTCCTTTCTCCTCACCTGCTAAATTTTGGAGACTGTAGCTTTCCAGCATACTATGAACAGGAATTTATGCTCTTACTTCAGCTACTTGCAACAACATTACTTTTTCAGTTCCGATTCCAGATTAAACCCTGTGTATGTAATATTGAACAGCTACTTAAATATTTACTTTGCAAAGCACTGTGAAAGTTTTCTGAAGCTTTCAGGAGGCAGAAACAAACAAACAAAATAGAGTTTTCCTTCACGAAACTGACTTCAAGGTGTGAACTGAAGTTTTGAAGCAATTTATAGTAGGTTATCACTTAAGAGTTCACCTTAGAATAATCTTAGAATAACCAATTTATTAATCTGGAAGACTGATTTTATGGTAGCAATGCCACTTATAGAATTAAAAAGCATCAGATAGATTCTTATGCAGATAGATCTGCATGATGCATTTACTTCTTATTGTTAAGTCTGCATTCTATAACTGTGTTGTCTACTGCTTGTGTGTCATTGTTTCCATAGAAATGCAAAATCAAGGGTGTTTATTCTGGTAGCCTTTACAACTGCTATTTTGATTTCTAAAAATGGCTGGTGGGGGGGCAAAAAAATCCCCCTTTCCCTTCCTCCCACTTTCCTGTTTGCATTGTAAAATGCTTCAGCTGTAAATTCAGCTGGTGCTTGTTACTGCAGTTAGCATATTCCAAACACTACTGCAGTATAAGTATCGATCTTTATGAGATTTTAAATTTAAAAACTCTTTATTCTATAAGGCCCAACATTACCGTCTGCTCGCCTGTAAAATCTGTCATCATCACAGGTGGAAATCTTTTTCACCCTGGGATTGTAGACAGTTCTGCATGAAAGAAAATAAGCCCATTTTAGTTCAGGTTTTAGGTTTTATTATTTTAAGTGCTTTCCTCTGGGGTGTACCTACAAAAAGTACCACTTGCTGAGAGGTAAGGCCATCGAAAGCGTTTCATGTAGCTCCAGATTACAGGCTAACATCTCGTGTTTCTAACTCACACCTGGCTGTAAGTGAAAGGTAAAGCTCTTGAGCATGAACCCATCAAAACTAAGTTTTGCACAGCTTCCCGTTACATGATCTAAAGGCACTACCAAGAGGACAAAAAGAGAGAGCTCCACACAAAACTTACGATTCTGAAGCCGCTCTGGAAAACCAACCAAACAGAGCCCCAGGAATCTCTGCCTGCCTCGGCCGGGGGCGGATTTCCCAGCTGGGTTATGAGGAGCCGGTGTGCGGGGCGGGGTGCGGGCTGCCCGCCCGGGGGGACACGGACCCCCGCCCGGGGGCCGGCTGAAAGCAGGGCTGAACCCACGCCCTGGGAAAACGCGGCTGGCGAAATACAACTGAAACCCGATTCGGTCGGGTTGTACATCGCTGCTTTAAAAGTACCGACATTTTCTCGAGTTCTTTCGCAAATTTTAGC